GTTTATGTAGCCTACAAGATTTATGTATGATGCTGATTCTAGACCAAATCTCGAAAGTGGACGACTCGGTTATGCGTGAGATGGTGGTCAGTGTATGCTGCCGAAGATATGGAATGCTGTTTGATTTGTCTTGAAAACTTTCACAGGGCGAAAAGGATCACAGAACTCCGTTGTTCCTATCTATTCCACCGTCCGTGCATGTTGGCGAGTAGCCCACCATGTCGCTGTAAATTAAATACTTAGGATAAATGGGCTTCATTGCATAATTTTGACCGAGTTTTGTAGCTAGTAGCTGCATATATTGACTTTGTTTACTTCTGCCAATAGTAATGACAACTCAGATATGAAGAAGCATGTTAATATCTTAGTGTATATTCTCAACCAAGAGTTTGGCTCTGTGATGAATGTAGATGCCCAAATTCACATTGTCAACTTTTCTCTGTTAGTTCATATTCTTTTTCTTTGTTTTCTGCACTGGTTACTTCCTGCCGCAATTTGATCCACTTGTCCAACTTAAGACGAGTCACAAGACCATATAAAACAGAACGATGTGAATCATCATCGCAGTTGTCTGAGGCCCTTCTGTGTGGTTAGTCTCCAAAAGCAATTCCAAAGAGGTGCACTATTCTATTAGTATGGAAATGAAGGACAAGCACTCATCTTCCAGCTGACCATCTTACTCAATCTATGCAAGGTAATCACTGTCAGTCTCAAACGTGTCTGGCCAGCTAGAATTGACATGTTCTTTGGTTTCTTAGTAGTTGCTGCTCGAAAATGAGTAAAGTTCTTCTTCTTCTTTTTTCTGAATAATGGCGGAAACGTTCAAGTCGAGTGTTGTTGCTTGAAAAATAAATTCGTCAGCTTGAACCGATGCATGATAACAACGGGATGTCACTACATAGCAGGCTCCACTGTTTTGCATAAGCATAATACTAATGCAATGGTAGGTTCAACCAGTGAAACACCTACGTTCCTGAAAAGAAAAGTTTGTTTGGACAAAGTTTGCATAAGCATATTAATGTGTTGTTCAATAATTTGTACTTCGTATAAGTTTGTTTGGACAAAGGTGGCCTATTTGCATTTTGCAGGGCATAAGTAAACAAACGTTCAAAAGGAGTCGTGTGAAAAGAAAAGCGGCAGGGGAGATTGAAACTCCTGAATTAAGATATATTCGAAGAGAACAAGGATGTCGTGGTGAGAATTCTCCCCAAATTTTACGAAGAATCTTCTCATGCATGGCTTAACACATACCATAATAGTCAATACTTTGATATGTGGGAATCGCATGACTAGATGTTTATTTGGACAATATATGTACAATGAGGAGTGAAGTCCCAATTCACGACTACTTCCACATTACTTTTGCCTAAAAAGGGTTAAAAAAAGAGCAAAATGCTCTAAAGCAACACGGTATCTACTGTTTTTGAAAACGATCACTTGTATCGGTTGATATGTTTTTGTGTTTATTATGGTCCTAAAATGTCACCTAACCATTCGATCAAAATAGGCAAATCACAACTCAGAAAAAGCAATATAAAAAAAATCACAATCAATTCCTTCAAGATAGTAATGAAAGAATGAGTAAAAAGAAAAGTGCGGTAAAGTAACCCAATACAAACCGGTCAAAGAATATTACATGACCTTGTTATTAAGCCCCAGGACAGCAACCCCTGACCTCATTTCAAATAAAATCCAATATCTTTTAAAAAAGATGAATCTTCCTGAGCCTAAATTAAATCAAACGTACTCATTAAAATACCTAGGCTATACGTACACTAACTAAATGATACAAAGCTCATTCTAATCTTAAAATCTAACTACCTAATCAAGACCTGTTTCTAGGCTATTTTCTGATTTTCTTTTAAATTTTCGAATTTTTAATTTTTTTTGATTTTTAATGAAAATAGGGACCGGTCTGGATAATGGGATGACATAGTCTCACGGGTTTGGGCCGCGGACACGATTGGGCTTGTTTTAAACTCATCAAGCCCATTCTGTTGAAACTAATTGCACTAAGCCCATTTCCCTTTTTGCTGTTTTAAGCCTACTTTAAGCCTATAATTGACTAAAGCCCTAAAACCCACACTTAGTATATCTCCCATTAATAAAACCCACACTTAGGAATTCAGAAAGAACATTTTTCAAACCCTTTCTCTCAGAGTTCCAAACCTCTCCGGCTTCTCCAGATCTCCCAAACCTTCTTCGAGGGAATAAGAGATCATTCATCTCATAACCTTTTCATACCCAGTAAGTTTCTAATCCATGTAAAGATTTTGTCTCATACTTTCAAGATCTTTCAAAAGCTTTTCTAGTTTCTATAGTGTAGAAAATTTTATCGTTCTAGACTACCAAATAGTCTGAGTAACGGGAGAATTTCTACCAAAAAAATTTTCTTACTATTGCACCTGTACTTCAATATCTACATTCTGTAACCTTTCAATACTGTTATTATAATTTTTCCATATTGTTTGAATATATATATTTTAATTCCTTTCCCCTCGACGCTTGTCTTCGTCTTCTTCCTATTGCAGACTAAAAAAAACTCCACAAAAACGAACACTAACCACAGAACATTCAAGATTCAACCAATGATCTGTTTTTAGCACAAGGGCCAATCAACTGGAACTAATTAAATCAATACTCCTTTCCTATATGCACAACACACCAAACTTTCCCTTTTTTTTTGGGGCTGAATCCCACCATGTGAAGCTTTGGATCCTCTATGATCAAATGTCCACGGACCCCTCTTGTTTTTTTTTGGAGGCCACCCAAATGTCCCATACCCAAAACGTGCCCTAAATGGGCGGTACCTCACCAAAATCCCAATATAATCCCTTTATATACATAAAATCAAAAATCTCTCTCTCTCTCTCTCTCTCTCTCAATCCCCCTTCCATTTCCCCAAAACAATCAGGACCGTTCATTGAAAACAGCCAATCCGCTCGTCGCCGGCGCCAAAAGATATTTTTTTTTTAACCAAAAATCGCCATCTCCCCCACCACCACCACCATCCATTCCTTTCATAAAAAAAAAAGGGAATATATATATATATATGCCAACTTGCTGGCCTCGAAAACAGAAAAATATTCGGCAACTTGCGACCTCCCTTGTGCTGACAACTGACACAGCAGGGCTCGCATCCCGCCGTCCATCAATCGCGACGCGGGGGGGGGGGGGTTTGGACGGTTGGATTTGGCTCCTCCCTGCGGTTGCCACGCTCACGTCTCGGCCGTCGATTTCAAAGCCCCCCCGCCCGCGCAAAGATGATTGGGCGGCCGTATGACTGGATGCTGCGTCAGTGTCGCCCCGGAAGTCGCAGTCCCGCAATCGTTTTGAAAAGATCTGGTTCCACGTAACGCTGACTCACGCCCCCCCCCTGCCAGCCCGTAATTTCTTAATTTCACGTGGACATATTTATTGGGTACTTTGCAACGAGGGGCCTGACCTTTTGTGAAATTGCGGAAGTTCCCGTGGAAGGGATGGAATGTGCTTTCTGTTTGAGACCCACGATCGTGCTGTCATTAAAATGCTTATGCTATGCGAAATTGGAGTGCCCGCGCGTTTGTTATATTCCGGGCTATGGGCTGAGCTTCATGTGTTCGGTTTTTTTTTCTTTTTTTTCCTCGTGTCGAATCGAAGACCATGGAATGATGGCGAGCGATGCGCACGGGTTGCGGCCGAGAGATGGGCGGCAAGATCAAATGAATCGAATGAAAAAAAAAAGGGGTGATATGAATTTTAGCAGGAATTCGGTCGCGTAGGAGATGGCGGGTACTTATCACTGGCGAGGTGATTACTAGCACTAGCGGATGGAGAAATCCCTATGGAGACGGGGGCAAGAGATTATTACCTTAAATTTCAAACATCGTAACGATTTGACGTGGCGTGCTCTTCCTGCAACTTAATCAAATTGAGAAATTCAAATTAGGTACAAATTGTAAGAGAAAGAGCTAGGCATGTGCCGCTATGTCGAGCCTATAGTCATCATCTTAAAATCAAAGTGAAACGGTTATATGCCTCTTAGCCACATGCTAGACCTTAAACAAATTTTCTCTTTTTGCAAACCGCCGAAATTCAGAAAATAATCTCAGAAAACGATATGGATCAGCACCAGAGATTAACTATTTCTGCAATTTATAAACCCGATTCGCAATTCTTGCTCAGCGAGAAGGTGGCTATCAGAAAAACGTCGTGTATCGCCATCACTCGACAAATTAGATATATATTTAGATACTGTCATTTATAATTTCGCGTTTTTGAACATTTTTACACGAGTGATCACTAATCGAAATGGATAGTTCTTACATACATACATTGCCCTTTTTTACCCCCCCACCCTAAAACAAAACAAAAAAACGCTAGTTAAATGTATATAATTACGAATTTTCCAGCCTGTAATTATTACTATTATTCCCAAACAAAGACTTTCCCGATTCGTTTTCTTCTGATCTCATCTAATTTACGGTCAATGATATGTATTTGGTTAGTGACACGAAGCCTTGTGTTGTGGGTAAACTCTATCCAAACTCCAATCCAATTTTTTTTGGGGCTTAATGCCCCTGGTCAATCGCCTCGAAGATCATCAATTCTTTCTCCTAAATCAAAGCGACAAGTCCCTCGATGGCGTCTAATCAACGTCGATTCTGCCAGGTCATCAGCTCGCGACCCGATTGGTGCGTGGAGCACACGGCTCACCCCGGCGCGAGTCGACCCTTATCCTCTCGCGTTAGGAAAAATCACATGCTTTTGGACTTAACATGCATGACGAGCGCGTCCATCGGATGGGATAGGGTGGTTGAGATTAGAAAAGAAGCAAGAAATTTCAGCTCCCCCGCTTTTTTCAGTTAAGGACTCCAAACATTCCAAATCGCTGATCAGGACCTGTGAGGGCTTTCGAATCGCAAGACAGGACTCCTCCTTGTCCCCTCCTATAAATACCCCCCCACCTCCGCCCTTTTCCGTAGCTACCAAGCACTGCAAAAACAACGGGAGCTTTTCGATACTTTCTTCCCGTGCTCTGTTTCCCAGTTTGGTTTCTTTCTGCGTGTTGCTGTTACCCTGCCTCGAAGAAGAAGAAGAAGAAGAAGATGACTATCGTCATTGAGCAGATCGATAATGGTAGGCCCCCACGAACTCATGGTCTCTCTTCAAGTTCGTCTTTTTGTTTGGGGTCTTTGTATCGTTTCGTGCATGCGAGTGGCAAGTGCGGATGAGTTTGACTTTGGGGGGAGGTTTTTTCATCTTCTGGGTCTGGTTGTTTTTCCCAGGCGCCGCCCAAGCGGAGGAGCAGAAGACGCTGACGATCACCAATGATCTGGTGCTCGATGGCGGGTTTGCGCTGCCGAAGGAGGCGTCGGACGAAGGGTTCGTGGCGCCCGAGATCAATGCGTTTGGTCACTCTTTCAGGTCCCTGCACTTTATCTCTCTGGCTCACCCTGGCCATCCTTCTGATGCAATGCAAGATTTTTTTACTTGCAACGAAGCGGTTTCTGATGGGACAAATTTCTCCTTTGTTCTTTCTGGGTTGGCAGGGACTACGATGCAGAGAGCCAGAGGCAGAAGACGGTGGAGGGGTTCTACCGGTTGAACCACATCCACCAGACCTATGACTTTGTAAGAAAGAAACCCATCGACGGACTTATCGGTTTCTGTCGGATCCACCATTAAAGTTGGCATCTTTTTGCCCTTCGCTTCTTGTGCTCGAGCTTACTGGAATGCTATGAACACCCCAGGTGAAGAAGATGAGGGGGGAATACGGCAAACTGGACAAGATAGAGATGAGCATATGGGAATGCTGCGAGCTTCTGAATGACGTGATAGACGACAGCGATCCTGATCTGGACGAGCCTCAGATCGAGCACTTACTCCAAACTGCCGAAGCCATCAGGAAGGATCATCCTGACGAAGATTGGCTGCATTTGACCGGCCTTATCCACGGTATATGCCCCGACTAATATGCCTCAAGATCCTATTTTTATTGGCTCAAGCAATCCGGGGTTTGACTAAGAACAGGGGATTGGAAAACCCAATAAGAAATTCCTGTGACAAGACTCTTATTTTTGTTTTAGAGATTGGACCCTAAAAATGGGACCAAACGCATGATTTTGAAAAAAATGTCGTGACCGATTTAATTGGGTAACTATTTTGTGCCGGCATTTTTCGGTTCAATCTAATTGTTGGCCGATTTAACCTGATATAATTAGCTGTGTACCACACGGCACGATGCGATCTCCGGTACGGTTTTAAAAATGTTGTCCTTTTGTTTTGCATAGTAAGGTGCCAAAAGAAGGTAGAAGATTTTCCTTTTTTCCCTTAAAAAGACATTTGATTGGCTGACTTTTCAGATCTTGGAAAGGTGCTGCTTCATCCCAGCTTTGGTGGGCTTCCCCAATGGGCTGTTGTCGGTGAGTTTTTCTTTTGTCATTTTCCTATTTACTTTTTTGGTCATGACTCATTTTTTCACTCAATTTTAAAAATTTGAAAACCTACTTACTTTTGACTAATTTTACAGGTGATACGCACCCTCTTGGATGCGCCTTTGATGAATCGATTGTCCACCACAAGGTCTCTTTGCATTCCCACAAATTCCACTCGATTTGTACATTCAATCTGTGACAAAGACCTTGATCATAACCCTAATGTTAATCTTAGTCTTAACCTTAACCATAATCTCCACTAATTTGATGCAGTACTTCGAGGGCAACCCGGACTATCACAATCCTGCCTACAACACCAAATGTGGGATATACAGCGAAGGGTGTGGTCTGGACAACGTGATGATTACTTGGGGTCATGATGACTACATGTACTTGGTAATTACCCTTTTAATTTTCTGAGGAAATTACCATCAAGCAGGTGATTATCATTAGTAAATATTGGTAATTATCCAAAGATAGTAATGCGATTATGTTGATTGGAAAATCTGCAGGTGGCCAAAGAAAATAAAACTACTCTCCCTCCGGCGGCATTGTTCATTATCCGTTACCATTCGTTCTATCGTACGTGATTTAAGTTTGCGAATTAGCCGGTTGCTCATTCCTTAATGATAACTATTTTGATACTTCAGTTGATGATGAACCTTGTGCTTTCATCTTCTTTGCAGCATTGCATAAGTGCGGGGCATACACTCACCTTATGAACGAGCAGGATAGGGAGAACATGAAGTGGCTTAAGATATTCAAGTACTGATGAAATTCAAATAATTATCGGTTTTTTTATGTGTTTTTTGTTTGGCATTGATTTGTGGGTAATTCCTTGGGACTAATGACTAATTTGTGTTCTGCTTGATTTCCTGCAGCAAGTATGATCTATACAGCAAGAGCAAGGTCCGGATCGATGTTGAGGAAGTCAAGCCATACTACATGTCCCTCATTGGAAAGGTGAGTTTCCCTCAAATAATGATCGTATAATTTATGCATATATATATATAGTGTACAAAGAAGTATGCATTTTTCAATTTATTCGTGGCTTTAACATAATTTTTCAATTGCAGTATTTCCCGGCGAAGCTCAGATGGTGATGATGTTTTAGAAGGTTTAGAGGAGTTAATTGGCTGAGAAGGCAGTGCATTGCTGTTTTAGCTTTCTTCGATTGATCTTATGTTTGATTAGTTGATGTAAAGAGCAAAAAAAAAAAAAAATTAATAAGAAGAAAGATGGGTATCTGATTGTTCATCCGTCCAATGTGCAATTATTTCTTTGTATCTGGTTGTTCAATGTCCAATGTGCAATTATTTCTTTGTATCTGATTGTTCAATGTCCAATGTGCAATTATTTCTTGTTTTAATTTCAATGTGTGTATCGTTGGCATTTAGCAATTTCGAAATTATCTTCGATTTTAATTTTGCTTGAACATGCCTATTGAGCTATTTCGTCGATAACGATGAAGGGTATCTATTGATTCTATAAAATCTCGAAAATGGTAATATACTTCGAAAGTAATTATCGGAATAATAAAATTGGTTTCCACGTTTGACAATTACTATCGCACATTCAGTGTTACGTATTCCTTGTATCCATGTGCAGTTCGAATGTGCATGTTTTCAATGTGTACTTTGACAACAGTTTGTAAAATAAATGCACTTTTACATAAAATAAAACGCGACATGATTTAATAAAACTTACTTCTCTCACATGCTGCCGAGCTTACAAATGAACATTAAAAAGTACTCTTTTCTTTTGTGGTATATACATGTGTAAACCGCGTCGTATCAATACTTAATCACAATAACTTGCTCTAAAAATTTAGGTTAGATAAATTATTCAATGAAAGAGTGGTGGTTTAATGTTTAAATATTTAACTTTGTCTTTCAAGCTTAGGCTGAATTGTCGCTCTTAAGAGTAATGACTAGAAATATATAGAAGGGGGATTTACAGGGGATTGAAAATATTTGAATTTAGGACTTCTTGCTATGTTGGCATGTGAAATTTTGCAGGAATTCAATTTTAAAGGTAATTTTTCATTTTAGTGTCACAAAAAAGTTCGTAAATGTGTCACGATGGAAAGTTGGGTTTTAGTGGTTTTTCCAAGACTAGAAATATATAGAAGGGGGTTTGGGATTGAAAATATTTGAATTTAGGACTTCTTGCTATGTTGGCATGTGAAATTTTGCAGAATTCAATTTTAAAGGTAATTTTCATCTTTAGTTTAGCCAACTAATGATGTGACTTGTTAGAAATCATTTTCCTATGCCCAAGACATGATTATTTTCATACTCATAGAAACAAATTAACTTTTTCGATGATTTCTCGTCAGACCGCACGGATTAGTAACAAAGCTTATTATTAGATGACAAAATCTTTATTTTGTCTTGTTATTTAAATAGCCCGATTATAATATGTACTCTTTTCTTATTTACGATGCGATCTCGATGTAAAATCACAATAGAAAGGAGCGATACATTCGATTTTAATAACGCGACGAAGAAATAAAAAAAAATGAAGAAATAAAAGGTACGGGCTACATAGTATAGGGCCTAGGCCCGGCCCATGAGATTCTTCCTTAGGGACTGAAAAATGAACCTCCAAAGAAATCGACAACAATGCAAAATCTTAAAGGGGCCCACGAAATCAGCAGAACAAGAGGAAACCAGCTCAGCCAAGCGAGTTGGTGGAGTGGGGGGGTTGTACTTATGCATCACGTGCTCGATTGTTTTCCATTTTCATCTCCCACGTGGCAATGTGTCCACGTGCTCGGCGCGTGACTTAGCCCGTCAGGGGGGTCCCACCCGAGACATGATCTTCCGACTCGGTGGGAGTGATCGGTTTCAGGATGGGTAGGTTCCTGACCTGGAACAACCCACCCTAGAACCTGAAACCTACAATGTTAGAACTGGTTCCCAATTTTTGGAATTTGGAATCTAACCTATTTGCCTTGAAATCGACCTCGAAACCTACCTTGTTTTTCCGGTCGAGTTCTAAGGTATACCTGGGGACTGGTTTTTTTTTTTCTTCTTCATTTTTTAGAAATTGAAATAAATAGCAGCTACATCAAAATAGTACGAGTAACAAAACGGCTCAAAGTAATATATCGATACAAAACAAATAGAAATGTAAAGTAAGAGGGAAGTTAGGTTTATTTTGTAAAGATAAATCATCTTCTTCCGACTTTGGTTTTCGATAGATGGGTTCAGCACCCAGAACGTGGAACCCATCCCTAGAGTACTAGTTTTGAATTTTTGGAACCGGGAATCGAAGCTGTTTTCATGACCTGTTCGGTCCGGTTCCCGGATAGAACCGAACCGGTCACATAGCCCTAATCAGGATCCTAAGAATTGCTATGCATTTGGACTAATCTGCCTTCGGAAGAGTCTTGGACTCATTTTGCCTTTTGCTTTCTCCGGACATCTTTTGACAATTCCGTTCCGTAATTTGACGAAGTCATTGACGGAAGAAGTGAAATTGGACAAATCCTCCGTACTTTTCTTTCTTCCAAATGATGCGTCATTGATGACCAATTTCGCAAAGAAACCCACAAATTCGTAGAAGTCAAATCTTTCGAAGATTCGCGTGCTCCATCGGAATTCTAATCGGGTAAAATCGAAACATAATATTTCATGCCTCTATTGTTCACCGTCACGCCGATAAATGAAAAACATTGTTCAATTTGGAACAAAAAAATTGTTATCGAGTAATTTTCTTTCCTCGCAAAATTTTTCTCGGGAGTGTTTTTTAATTTTATTTTTGGCTATCGAGAAGTAGTTTCGATCGCCTTAAATGAAATAGTGCATTCCCGGTATCGTATGGATCACCTTAATCATCGACTCTAGAGTTCCGTTCGTTTCGCGGAAAATGAATGATTTGAAAATTATTGTCTTTAAAAATGATCGGTCATATCGCTTAAGATAATTAGTCAATGAAAAATATTTTTATCATCGACGACAATTTATTGTGAACGATGAAAATATTATTCATTTATTCATTTTTGTAATCGATACGGACGATCATTTTTTAGGAAAATAATTTTCAAATCATTTATTTTTTCGCAAAACAAACGTACCCTTAATTAAGTTGTATATGGACATCAATGTCCTTGAGATTCTAGAATTGCTTCGTCAAAGCATATAATTATGATTATCCAATAGCGTGCTTTTTCTTAGAACGACCATTTCCGGTTTTGAAGTAATTATATCTAAAATGGGACCGCAGAAAGATTTAATTTTTAATTATATATATTTATATATATATTCGAAGTCGTGACGTATTATACAGAAAAAGAACTATAAATTATTAGAATGATTGAATCTTCGCCTTAAGAAGTGAAAAAATTAAACACTTCGTGTCCCGTCATCACCTAACACATTGTCACGGTTCAAGGTAAAATGTCCCACTCCAACAATATGGGTCGATTTCGTGCCGAGTCGTCACCCTACCAACTCATATTATATTCCCATTTTCCAAATATTTCGCCGTAATTGTCCATGGAAAATGAATTACATTGAACCCTTAAAAAATACCCTTAGAATATGCATTATACGAGGGGTAAAAAAGAGAGTATAAATACACATGAAACCGTAGTACGTAAAAATTATTATTTTTTCCCTATTTCACAAGGAGTTGAATGGCCCTTCTGCTGGACGAGCCATGAGAACGGTTATTCTACAAGTTCAGAGCGGTCGACTATGGTCCCGCATGATATCGTGGTAGGATCCTAAGCTCCAATCTTTTCAGTTATAAGGTTTTACTGGTGTATGTTATGTATAGAAAGAGTCATTCGGCTTATGCAATTCGAATAGTTAGAAATGCGCATTTCCTGTTTCTTGCGTGCAAAATCGAGTTAGCGACGGGTGTAAATTTTACAGTTTTCCTTAAACATTCCACTTTCGAAATTACACATACAGGTAATATAATTTCACCGGCTGCAAAAAAAAAACGGTCCAATGGATTTTACTAATAGCGCCCTTATAATCGATGGAGAAAAATGATCCAAAACTCCTTTCGCACTCTTTTTCCTCGTGATATGCACGATTTGTGCTCCAAAATTAGAATATTATTTCGCTAGGTACATTCGACAAGTGTTTATATGTTAAAGTTAGGCGCACAAACACAACAAAATAGAGAGTAAAGGCGAGAAAGAAAAAAAAGAAAAGATACAAGATTTATCCTAATTCATCCTTAAATTAGTGCTATATTCAATCATAGTATCATTTCTCTAATTACAACTATAAGACTGGGCTTATGCTCAAACTAACAATAAAAGACGGACTCAAACTATAAAAACTCTTTAGCGGCTTAGGAGCGACGCCCCCATGACCCCGCTGGGGCGGCCCCTCAGACCTTTATCCGCTCATCGGAGAGCGGGACCCTCACGTCTTCCTCTTAACGGGGAGCATGAACCGTACCTCAACAACGTTGGCAATGTGTACATATGGAATATAACCGTAAAACGATGCGATTATTCATGTCCTAAAATGGTGGGGTCGCTTCAGATTTTGTGAACAAGTGAAAAATAGCTGCGCCGAATTGTAATTCCTTTTTCCAACTTGGCGGGAGGCCTTCCTTTTGCGCACACACAAAACGAACGATAAATGCTTCTGAATTTTCTTTTCCATCTTCGGGGACGTTGTAATAATAGGAAGGAAGAGAGGAAGGTGACGCCCGTGGTGACCCGAAATGAGCCGGACAGCATCGCCCAGTCAGCGTTTCGTTTCCGATGATTCCCAAAGACAACGTGGAAATTCCCAAGTTTTCCTCCTTTTCCTTGATTCCCTCCTCGGCACGTGTCTCTCCTCCCTGGCCCCAGCTGAATGAATTTGTCCCATATATTAGCTCTCTTACGTCAGCCGCAAGAACAAACCACCCCCACCAATCACTCTACTTGAACACCTATAAGTGTCTACCGGTCTTTGCCTTCCCCATCTCTCTCTCTCTCTCTCTCTCTCTCTCTCTCATTTTGTGCAGAGGCCAAAAGCGGGGGAGCTGGTGGGGCGGGGAGGCATCATGGATGCTCCGCTTCTGGGCAGTGATGGCTTGATCAATCGTGAGAAGAAGCAGGGGAGGAGGAATTGGGCCAGAGCTCTGTGCTTTTGCCTTGCTTTCATCACAGTCGCAGGTGGGTTGTGTTTTTCTTGCTTGGTTTCTTTCTGGGTCGGGATCAAGAATTCTGGGTTCTTGTTCTTTCTCGTGCTCTGGCTCTTGAAGAATAGTTTGTCCGTGAAATCCGAACTTTCTGGGTATGCAAAATG